CCCCATTGGCCGCGCGCCGTCACCTGACGCTCTGTTATTTCCTGTGTGTTGGGAGAATGGAGAGAAAAAACCCCGAGCCGAGCCGCTTTCGGCCCCTGCGAGGCGGCCGCGGCCTCCGCCGGGGGAGCCCGCCCTGAGGCGCGCCTGACCGGGGAGCGAGCGCGCGGGCCGGAGCGAGGCTCGAGGGGCCACGGCCCCGGCCCGCCCCGCCGCCGGCCGGGGCGCCGGAGCTGGAGGCGGCAGAGGCTCCCCCACCCCCACCTCGCGCCGCGCCGCCCGCCGCTGCCGCCGCCGCCGCTCCCTCCCCTCCCGCCCCCGGCCGAGGCCGAGGGACCGGGCGGGGGGCCCCTGCAGGTAACCGCCGCCCGGGCTTGAGGGGGAGGGGCAGGGGTCAGAGCTAAGCGGGGCCGGGCCGGGGTGTTCGGCCTCGGGGGCCGGGGGCAGAGGTCCTAGCCCGGCCGACCTGAAGTGCTGAGCCCCCTGGACTCCGAGGCCAGGGTACCGGGTGCTGAGGGGAAGGTCCCTGCCTGGCCCGACCCAGGAGTGCAGAGAGGAGCGGCCTGGCCTGGGGGTGCGGAGGGGAAGGGGCCCGGCCTGGCGTTAGGGCGCTGAGGGGTCTGAGGGGTCTGGCCTGGGAGTCCGGTAGGATTTTGGCACCAGTCCTAGCCTTAGGGTGTCGGCGGAAGGTACCTGCTTGTCGCGGCCTCGGGTGCAAAGGCGGCGGGTGTGAGCGGGCGGCGCCCAGGGGTCCGCGGGGTCAGCGCCGCCCACCCCGGGACCCCGGGCAGCCCCCGGCGTCCCGCGGCGCTCGCCTCTTGGTGGCGGCTGGGGGCGAGGCCGGCGGGCGAAGGTTGGGCTTGGGGCGGGAGCGGCGCTGGCAGCCCGGAGTCGGAGCGCGCCCTGCCGCGGGAGGGACGGGGGCCCGTTTATTGCCATGTGAACACCTGAAGCCATGTGGACGCGGCAGCTTCTCGCCTGTTGGGGGCGGAGGACAGGTACCGACTGGCGGGGCGCAAGGTCCTGACGCGGGGGGGCCGGGAGCGGTGCGCGGGACACACTTCCTGCGTGCGGTTTTCTCCTCCTCCCCCGCCGCGGTGAGCCGGGCGGGTGTTGGATCCGGTGGTCCCGGGTGCGAGCGAGCGCCCGTTTAGGGGCCTGAGGTTGAAGCTCCTGTCTCCTTCGGGGCGGGGGGAGTGGTTGAAGGAGAGCGGCCCCTCTGGGCCAGCTCGCTCGGAAGCGGCTGGAGGTGGAATGCCTCCCGTGCGCTGCGATGGGAGTGGAATTCGGTGTGTTTTGGGGGGGAGCGCTGAGCGGTCTCCTTCCTGGGCCTGTGGGTGGGGGTTATTGTCTGTTTTTGTGGTTGTGGATGCTAGAGCTGTCTGCCGGTCTGTAGGCATCCCTTTCGTTTGCCCTTAGGGGACAGATAAAAATTAGGACTTTTTCCTCCTTTTCTCTTTGCCCCCCCCCCCCCCGAGATTAGATGACTCTGGTAACTGCTGTAAAATGGATGGAATTTTCAAGCTATTATCTAACAGGCAGATCTCTGAATGATAATTGGACCCTTATGTTAACAGCTTCAGTGAAGACTTTTATGAAATATTTTACATGGGGTGGCAGCGGTAGATCTTACGTGGGTAGAGTGGGAAACTGCTGTGAAGTCCAACCTGGGAGACCAGGAATCTACTTCCAGGTTTGCCCCCAAATAAACTGTAACCCCTGCCAAGTTACCTACTCTCTCAAGCCTCCCAGTTTCCTTCTCTATTAAATGAGGACTCCCTTCTAGGTCAAACACTGCAGGGCTTGTGGGTAGGTTTTCTCGTTTGTTTTGGTTTTTTAATGTTTGTTTGTTTGTTTGTTTTTGGTCTACTACCTTGCGCTTTTGTACAGAGGCAGCCTTGTTGAGAAATGCAGGATGTTTCTCCCCTGGCTTTTAAGATCCTGTCCCACTTTTTAGTATCCAGCCTTTTCCTTCTTCAACAGAGCATTGAACTTGGTTAGCATAGTTTTTCCTCAAATCCCAGATACTGTTCTGTGCTTCGCAGAAAGTATACTGTATTATAGTCTGTGTTGAGTATGTCTTATGTTTTTTTGTTTTTGTACAAAAAAGTTACCAGGAGAAAGATTTCAGAGAACATTTGACTGTTTGGAAGTGTGGATAATGTAAGTGTATTGGGGTCTGTGTATGTTGGTTGGCTGCAAAGAATTCCAAGGTCTTTTTATGCAGGGAATTGTGGAGGGACCTTATTTAAAATTCGTTGAAGGGATATTTGGCATTTGGCTAATTTTTGCAATTTCCAACTTCAGTATTCTCAAGAGTAGGGATAAAGTGGAATTCCATAATATCTCTTGTGAAATGGTATGCTGGTGGAATTAACTGTCACCTCAGGGTGCACTAATTGTTTGCATCCCCAATTTATTCCATAATGGTGGCCAATGCTTCCTCTCAGATGCTGCAGAACCCCAATTAGTTTCACTGATTTTATGGTGTGTGAGAGCCTTAGGCCATGCTATTGACTGGTTAGCCCTTCTAGACCAGCCTCAGCTCTGGTCTTGTCTGTCTTAAATTTCTGGTACTGTTGATGCTTTGAGGGCGTGTGCCTAATGTGGTGTAATGTGTCTTCTGCCACTTTTTTTATTCAGTCTGTACAGTTTCAGAAATGGTCTCAGCAAGGGGATGTGTGCTCATAGTGTTGACTTTGGAGATGGATTGGTGTAATTTTTCTCATATGTTAACATGGGGCCTGTCACATAGGCAGACACTTTAATATGGCTACACAGAGTAATAATTGGGAGTTTCTCAAAATAAGTAATTTATTCTGTGTGGGTATTCGAATTATGACCTAGTGTTTGGTGTGGGATTTTTAAAATCCTGGTTATTTAAGTCGTAAGTCGTTCTCACACTCACATATGTTTGTATTTGTGTTACAACATAACGAGGAAAAGATTATCATAAAACTTAGAGGTGATTCGTGTGTGCACGTGAGAGAAGGTTGCTAAGGTAGTAAGATGTTAGGAGACATGGGTTTTAGGTTCCCTAATCTCTTAGGGGTATACTTTTTTCTTTAATTTCATAAAATGGAATGGAGTGTAGTTTAAATCACATCCATTTAGACCAAGAAATTAAAGTTGGACATCTGGTGAGTCCAGCTTTTTCTTCATATGGATAGGAAAGAATGCTAATATTTGTGCTGGCTTTTTATGGTTGTTTTTAAAATCCATTATGCTAGGTTCTGTCCCAGTTGTTTAATTTGTCTTATAGAATCTACCCAGAGACCTGAGAGGTGTAAGTGATCTCTCCTTTTCCTGAGAGGTCAAAGAGCTAGTGAGGGAGGGTCAGAGATTGGCCATCCTTACCGTGGCTGCAAAGCCTGACTAGATCTGTTATAGCTCACTGCCTGCGCACCGCACAGATCATCGGGTGGTAGATTGGCCTTGGAGTCTGTACTTCCTGCTGTGCCCTATTTTTTTTTTCTCTTAAGTTATAGTGAAATGGAAATCTGGACTTGGGCAAAATACTGGAAAGCATGTTTTTTGCAGCTATGCCACCAGACCAGACTCTGGTTTAGTGACCCCTGGGACCTCTATACACTTTCACTTTCCCTATAACTCGCCAGTTTTGCTAGTGTACCTGAGATGTAATCTAAAAAATTTCTCCTTCATTCCCAATTCTGCCATTCTGTCTTTGAGCCAGAAACTTCTTGTATCAGCTCAGAGAATGGTATCATATGAGGGGCTGTCTCTCTTCCGGTCCGTGCTGCCACACAGGTTTGCACTGCACGGTCTGTGTTTGACCAGATGGGACTGAAAAGATATATTTCCAGAAGACAGTCCCTTGTGTGGCTTAAGTTCTCTTCCTCAAGGTTGCTTGTGTTCAAGGCACCTTAGTGCTCATTAGATCTGTCTGGGGTTTCTGACTCTGCTACCTTCATTTTCTTTTTGTGGAGGTAAAAGTAACAAAATGAAGCAAAACCGTAAAACCCTGTTTATGTTGGAGTATAACTGTACGTCAAAGTTACACATTTGAAATATAATGAAGTCTTGGCTTTCATAGGGCGTAATTTGGGCACATTGCACTTAGACTGGATAGCTTTTTTATTATTAGGCTGCTTAAAAGTCCTCTTAATACCTATGATGTGTGCAGTGTGGGTGAAAAGGTTCTCATGGTGACAAACACAATCAGTACTTTTCGCGTTAGAGCTGTGTTTGCTTTGTAGGTAATGCGCACAACCCAGCAGGAAGATGAACTAGAAAGTGACTTATTGGTGTATCTGTGGCTTGTTATCTGATGCTTCATTGTGAGGAAGTTAAGAAAGAGAAAACATCAGCTGTAGGGGGAAATATCCTTATTGTAGTGTGCACGTGGAAGCTGTTCTGTAGGGAAGGGTGGAAGTTCGTTGGGACACTTGAGTGCCACAGCGCCTGATGGGAAGGTGGTTTCCATGTTTGCACATCACATCCCTGAATGTGGACGGAGGCCCTCTGTGCGTGTTCTGGTTTTCATTAGCAGGTGTTTATAGACGGTTTTCTAAGCATGGGTGATGCAGTGGTGGGCAAGGGAGAAAAGGAACCTGCCCTGGAGATGGGCTGTAAACAGTAAGTAAATAAGAATATCAGGTAGTGATAACTATGAGATGAGAATAGAAACAATATGGTAGTGACTTGGGATGCTGTGTGAGAGTAGATGTTCCGTCTTCTGATGCCTTTGCTGCCAGCAGGGCAGTCAGACTTGGTCTGTGGGATGGATGAAAATGGCATTAAACAAAGTAAGTAATTTGCTTTAGCCCTGAGCATCTTGGGAAGTTAATCCAAAGAATAGAAGTGGGTTGGTTGAAGTCTTTCCTCTGTTTATATCTTCATGCTTTGTGATTGGGGACCTGGCTCAAAGGAGCTGAGCCGGTAAGAGAAAAAAACGATTACCCCCTTATAAAGGGTAGTTCTGATTTAAAAAAAAAAAAAAAGTAGAGATGTGTTATAATATTGGTGAGTGCTGGGCGTTGTTAGAAACATTCTTCAGTTGTGTTTGTGTGTCTTTGTTGTAATCATCGTACTTGGTTAAAGCTTCAGGTGAAACCAACAAATATTAGTAACATCTGTGTGCAGGGCGCTCTGCTAGGCATTGCGTCAAACAGAGGATCCCGAGCGACTGAGTGGAACTGTGGGGGCTGCTGCGGGAAGCAAGGATAGCTCGGAGTCAGGGGGCTCTGGTAGGGAGAGAAACAGTGCCGGTCAGGTGGGTAGTTTAATCACAGCCTGGAGGGTTCATCCTCCCAGCCTTTTCCAGCCATCCTCCTGGATCCCGCATCCCTTTACTCACCGTGTCCGTGCTCTCTGGTTATAGAGTTCTGTAGAGAGCT